TAAGCATCTATACAAATCATTTTTGGAATTATGTCCCTATTGAAATAAAGAGCTAGAAATTATGTCCTCTAGGGGACATGGATATAAAGGGATATAAATTTTATATGCTAAATATTTTAGGGATCTATCTTTAGGTACAAGGATTAGAACTCAACAAGAATTACATGTTGACCTCATTATTGTTTGCTTCTATTAGTCAGTTTCATCGACAGGAATGCAAGAAAAGTTCATGCTAATGCAATTAGCAAAACATAATATAAAATTATTGGATAGTATTTAAAACTATATATAAAGTTTAATGATTATATATAAATCTCTATTCATTGGTGTATATTTAATGTCAATTAAAAGAAGAAAAGAGAGTGAATGAGTGAGTGAGTGAATTTTTGAATGCCAGGTTTGAAGAGTTTGATGAAACCAAATATATATATCCTTGGACTAAGCTCTTGAAGATAAAAGGCTTTGACGATTTACCTTTGTGCTGAAACCTAAGATTGGTTGTTTTCTATCTTAATATAGGCAAACATTCAAATAGCATCGAGTAAAAAGAAGTCATTACTTACAAACCACAACCATCTCAGAAATTTGTAAGTATTGTCAGACATAACTAATTCTAATCTAGAGGTGGTACCATTTAAAACCAAACCACAGGCAAAAGCTAGCCCTGTAGTAGCTAATTCCAGTTTTTTCTTTGGTACAACTGCAGTCTGCTTAATGATACTGGACATTCAGCATATGGGTAATTATTTTCGAAGGCAGACCGGAAATTTTCTGGTATTACAATTGTAATTATTATATGTGTATTGTTTAAAATTAGGATCTGAAAAAATCATATCTAGCATTTTTGTCATCTTTAAAAATAATTACCCATATCAGTAATTATCTGTTTCAAACAAGTTCAAATTTAGCAATGGAAATCTACAAATATATTTGTGGAAAAAACAATACAGAAACAATCAAAACAAACCTGGTAGCAGCCACTCTCAAAGCAGCTAATAGTATAGAAATAATATGTTCAGACTTTCAATAAAAAGATATTTTTCAATAGAAAGAAAATGTTTTTTCAATTAAAACATTGTTCAACAATTAAACAATATATAACCAGGCTATCAAATCCATAAGAAAGTACAATATTATATATATTGATCAATTATAGAGAAGAAGACAGGTATTCTTTTAAGTTGAAAGTTTATTTAGTCCAGTCATAGCCATAGTAGAGAACCAAAACCTTATTGATATAAATAGGTGGGTTTTCACGTAAAATCAACCCAACCTACTTTTCCTCTCTAGCCTAAGAAATCCCTTC